CCTCTTCAGATCCTTCAAACAGATTTTTTTCCCCCACTCGGGGGGGCTGCAGTTCCCAGGGATCACACCCCGTGTCCGTGAGGGATTCACACCGAGAGGGAAGGACAGGGAAGATGGGGTTTCTAAAAGGGGGAGAAAGTTCCAACGATTGAGGACCATGGAACAAGGATGGGTAAGGAAATCGTGACCTCGGTATGTTGTGAAGCTCTGGGTACCTTTTAGCCCGGCGAGGTGCTGAAGGGTGACCGGGGTACAAGCAGGCTGCAGGCACAAATCCCCCCGAAAAGCTTCTGTTCGGATTTGTCTGGCAGGATCAGCTTGGAGGGCTGGATCCTGCTGGGCAGCTCGACCAAAGGCTGTTGGCACTGGCATGCAAGGCAGTGACCACCGCCTCTCCCAGTTAGGCTTTTAGCAAGAATTGCTCAGCTTTCAACAAACAAGGAGGAATTCTGATCCGCTTGGCCTTCCCGCGAGACAGCTCGGAGCAGTCTGTTGCTAACCTCTGCCAAGCAGGACTGCTCTGGTTTGCCAGAGTTTTAAGCCCGGCTCTCCTGGAGCAAGGCAGTCACCTCGGAGTGCAGACAGGCACAAACCAGTGCCAGGGGACCCACCTGCAGTGCCGAAACACCCGAGTGCCGTAACCACAGCTCGGTCTCGAGGTCCCGCATCAACTTGCCTGCCAGGCACTGGAAGGCAGCCTGGAGAGCAGCCGCTCAGCGCTGGGAGCCCCAGACCTGGCGTGATGGGACTCTTCCCTGAAAAAAAGCCAGCCACGTAATAGATCTTTGTCTGCATTTAATACAGAGATGCTACATGATAAACTCCAGCCGCTTCCTGACATTATCAATGTTGTCAGTGGGATCGATATACACATTGCCGAATCACTTCAGTTTCCTCCACGCAGCCCAAGTACAGTCAGAGCTCTCGGAGTGTTTCGAGTAGCACAAGTGTCCCTTTTCCAGGGCCCCAAGACCCAGCCAAGTGTTTACAGTGCTCCAGTAACGCCTTTGCCCCAGTTCTCTTGGACACAAATGCCCCTGACCGCACTGTGAGAGCGTCAAGGGTTACTAACATGGGTACAAAGCAGGAAAAGAGATAAATGTAAATCAACCTTTTACCTGTTGGTCTCTTACTTGTGAATGTACTAATCAGTCGTGATATTCACCTACACAGAAACAAGCTGCAGTCTCAGTTATGCTGGTGTAAATCTGGACAGACTCCACTGAATAGAGTGGAAATCCACTCGGTTTACACCAGGGTAAGTGCAAGCAGCAGCTGACCACTGGCAGGGACCCCCCTCCTCCTCCTTCCAGTGCAATGCGCTTGTCTCAGCACCACGACGCCCAATTAGGATCGGTGCAAACTGGAGGAGGAGGAGGCGGCGGCTTCTTCATCCTGGAGGAGCGCCACATGAAAATTATCCTGCTATTTTTATCCCAGGAAGACTCAGCCAGCTTGCAACACTCCGTACCGAGACCCCTGTCTCCGATGCAGGGGTGGGCTGATGGAGACTTCAGTCCCAGCAAGCGGTGCCCGCAGGGTCCAGCACAGTGCACTGGAGCTGCAGCCCCTGCCCGAGTCAGCCCGTGAAGCAGGGCAGCAGCGCTGCACATGACCGACTATTTACATGCAGCCACGGGGCTAACGATCAGCGCAGATCTCAGCCGGGCAAGGGTTAAGGAGCCTCTGGGCTGAGAGGTAGAGGGCAAGGGGACTAAACCAGAGGCAAGCATTTTGGTCTGCTTCTCTCTATGAAGACGGTAAATCAGAGAGGGTTAGAGCTTTCAGTCAAACACCACGGATGTCCTGAAGGATGACTTGCTGTCTGTCTTGACCAGCAGAGCTACCCTGTCTCTTGGAAGTGGTGCCGCATAGCTCGGCAAAGGTCTAGCTCAGCATCTTGTGGCGGTCAAAAACTGTCTTCCTCTGCTCCTGCACCTGGCGCTTCCAGCGCTGCTGAGCCCCCTCCACCCTCTCCAGCACCGTGTTGGCTCTAGCGCCAGACGGGGTAGGGGCTGCGGCCAAGGAGCGAGCATCCTGCAACGGAAAGAAACGGTGAAAGAGATCAAGGCGTGCCCAGCCTGAACACAGAATGTGGCAGCTCGACTCTGGGAGAAATTTCAACTGAAAGAGCAATTCAAGGCTTGAGTTGTCCTGACAAAGAACCTCATTTTCAGAGCTCCTCAAGACCAGCCCCCCAGCTGCAGCTGGAAAGCTTGCTCTTGGGGACCACCCACGGTAAAGTCACAGGCCCCAAATAAAAAGTCCCCAGGAGAGGAACTGCACTAAGTCTGAACCTCTGCTGGAAATCCACTGCTAGGAGTCTGCAAGGAGCTGCACTGCTAAAGCAAACTGCATCACCCCACTGAAACTGGGCCAACAATTTCCATTGTTCTCGGCGCACTAGCTTACACAGTAGCTGCTCATCTGTTTCTCGGACAGTGCTGCAGGACTTCTGTCCAGCCCTGCTGTTCAGACCGCTCCCAACAGCCACATTTACACTGCAGTAATGTCAGAAGGCCCCTTGGGTGGGGATCCATCGTGGCACACAAACACCAAGGCAATCTCTAAGCCTATCCCAAAGAATTTACAGTCCAGCACACTGGAGTAAGATAAACCTCGCCTAATATCAGGCATCTAAAGTGTGCACCTAGATCTAAATCTGAATTATTCCTGTAGAGCAGTGGAGCAAAAGCGTACTTTTAGGATACAATTCATCTCCTCCTGCAGGACCTCCTTTTTTCAGCAGAGGGAGGTAATGGATAGACTGAGGAGTAGCTGCTCTGAAGTGCACACTTACATCAGCATATGAAAGAATGAGGCCAAATAGTTTATACTTACAGCAAAGTGTAAATAGGACAGTCTGATCCAGTGGTTTTCTCAGAGACTAGGAAAGGAGAGTATCTTCAAGCATTGCAGCTTCCCTTCTCAAAGTGTGACTGAGCTAATCACTAGCATCCAGAGTCACCAATTGCTAGGGACGGCCTCCTCATGAGCCTCCTCCCAGCAGCCGGGGGCCTGGGTCAATGCTCGAGCACAGCCCTGGGGCTCCACCAAGGGAAGGAACTCGGCTCCAGGAGAGAGCTCTGCCTAGCACTGTGCCTCGCTAAACTGTGCGTGCCTGAACTGAGAAAGCCACAGGGAAAGCTGTGTCGCAAAGCCACACGCTGCACTAGCAGGCAGCAAGTCTTGGACAGCCCTTGCATCCTGCAAACAGAGCGTGAGCTACAGATGCAATCAAGCATGAGAGCTAATCACTGTGCGTGCAGCCACTCCGCTCCTCCACACTAGCCATCAGCTCTGCCTCCAACACTTCCTCTCTGAGAGACCATCCCATCTCAGTCTGTTGTATTCCCCTACAAGGGAAGGGAAGCCTTAGGGGAAGAAAAGAGTTACAAGTCAGGGCGCTCTTGTTCTGAAATCCCCCGTGGAATCAGGCCGGATCATTCCCCCTAAAGCACTGCCTCCCTCACAAGGGGAAGGATGTTGTATGCTGGATGCTGAAATTGCATGAATTTCATGCAGCAAGAAATTTGTCCTCCCACAAAATCTGAGAGAGAGAGACAGGCTCTCTCTTTGCTGCTGGGTCCTAACCTTCTTGCCCAAGATGTCATATGCCTATGTCCCCCCAAAAAGATGGGATTTGAGTAAAATTCTGCTCTGGGGAGAAGCACAAGGAACAAAAGCCTGGATACAACAGGGCCCAGCCCCAGAGCGGGGTCAGACACCACCACCTCAGAGGCTACTCTTAAGTGCCTAGAAGACAGACCAGCCCCACGTTTCAGCAAATAATTAAACCCATACTTCCCTGGAAGCTCACCACCAAGTAACTACACCTAGGACACTGCACAAACAGGAACCATTTGACTTTTGGTTTCATCTAGGCAGACAGACCAAATTCAGGCCACTTGGTAAAAAGCCACCCCCTACCCCAGAGGACAGGGCTCGTCTTGGGCTTGTAATACAGAACTTGTACTTTGAATATTTCTTTCATTGTGCTTCAGCATGATCTGCACAGATTTGAGTCTAAATGTTTACCTGTGGTAAGTGCCCAAAAAGCAACAGCGCTGGTCGCACAGTGGATCAGAGGGGACAAGCACGAGGTCATTCTGTTTCCCTGTCAGCCATTCTCTTGTCACCCTACCACCCTGTCTCCACCGTGACCGCAGCCACCCATGGGCACCCTGCATGCACCAGCAGCACAGCCTCACCTCATTCTCCTCCTCATTGTGCAGGGGCTGTGTATAAGCATCTGGCTTCCGGATCAGAGGGTCCACCAGCACAAGGAAAGCCATGTAAAGCAGCAGTGCCCCCACCACAGACAAGTAAATGATGATGATCACCTGCAGTTAAGGACAGCACCGTGGAAAAGGATCAGTAGCGTAGATAAGAAGCACCACAGAGGCCAGGAAGCTCCCTTCACAGCTGCCTCTGATGTTTGATCTCTTCTCTTATTCTAATTTTGCTCCCTAGAAAGTCTCTTGCACTTGCAGGAAAGCCAATGAGACCTAAGTGCCATCACTGCATAAACAGTGCTGATATTCTCCGCACTGTGCCAATTTAGGACACGTGCTGCATGTGAAAGGAGACCAACAAGATGGGTCCCCAGTCAGAGGTGCTTGGCACTGTCACACATCCTCAGCAAGAAGACTGGGCTCCTGTGCAGCCTGCTGCTCACTGCCAGGAGCCCTCCTGACTCGGACTCAGTGCCCCTGGCACTACCACCGTGTACTAGCTGTGATAGTTTTATTTTCCCTTTCTGGGCTCTACTCCAGGAACCCACCAGTCCAGCCGTGCCTGGGATGGCGTGGCATGGCAAAGAGAAGGAGCCAGCCACAGGGAGCAGACCCACAATTACCTTGATGGTGGTGGTGCTGCGCTCCTCATACTTGCATTCACACAGCAGGCAGTAGGCCTCCACATCATTCCCTGGCACCGGCATTGGCTCCACAACATGCAGGCAGTTGCTGCAACACAAAGAAACCAAAATCAGCAACAGGACAAGGTGAAACCAGTGCTCTGTGGAAGGATGCTGGGGGTGACTTTTTCTGGGTCCCAGCTTTCCCGTCAGGCTGATAAAGCTGATCAGGTTTTAAGAGTTCCCCTCACAGCTCAGCTAGCCCAAAGTTCCTGGGATAGACTGTCCAAGCACCTTCTGCAGGGATCCAGTCCAGGTGAAAGGGACTGGAGGGTACACCCTACATCTGCTGAGAGCCGTGGCTTAAGAAATCATGCCTCCCAGATTCCTCAATCTCTGTTCAAAAAACGCCCCTCACCTGGGTTGAAAAATCACCTACTAAAATGGCTTCCCCTGCAAATGCACAGGCAGGGAATTATTTCCTTAGCACCAGCTGGAAACTCCAGAGTGTTGGCTTTCATGGACCAACCCCTCAGGCTTCAACCCACAACTCACCAGTCCTTCTGCGACACATTCTTGTTGTAAATATGCCCACTGATGTTCCGGTACGGGGGACAGATGCACTTGCAGCGGATGTCCTCCGAGCTCTGCAGAAGCAAGAGGAGACGGCATTAGCGAGTGAACACGTGCATAAGGTTCTGCTGCCCTCACCACCATGGGTGTGGGAAAAGGCAAAACACTCTCTTAAGAGAGAGAGGACTTCACACCATGTCTCTTCTTCCTGCGCTGCTTCTTTCACATCAGTAACTTCAGTTTTAAAATGTCTTGAGCACTTCTGCTCCAGACACCAGGTACTTTTCAAACCAGCTTTAAAATGCAAACTCCAAAACACAGCAGAAGGCAGGGCAGAGGCCACTGTCACGTACATTCACAGCTCTACATATGATAAATGCACATCTGCTATAGCACTCCGTATCTTTGCAAACTTTCACAGAAAAACAGTTGCTTCTCCGCCATTTTTGTTTCTGTTGTACTACACACACGGTTCAGTGCTTGTGTCTGAAGCTGTTCCACTCACCTTGCTGGCTTGTGCTGGAGGAGAAAGGATGCAGCAGAGCAGCGCGATCAGCAGCACGGAGCTCGCATACTTCCGGGTGCACTGGGCAAACATCATGGAAGCCTGAGGAAACAAACATTCACATCCAGGATAGAGGATCTCAGGTGAATGCAACCAAAACGAGTTAGTTTGAACTTTCTTTTTTGGGCCACTTGCCTCTATTTGGCCCAGGAAGTAGAAATTTATCCCTGAATGAAGGCTGATGCCAGTCAGAAACTCCTGGAAACACTTTACACAGATCCCAAGAAACACTCCTATCAAAAAAGCTTCCACCATCTAGAGCCACACCTCCAAACTCCCACAGTCCTGCAAAAAATATTGCTGACTTCCTTACAGTTTGACTTCTGCAACTCCACGTAACCTCCTGTTTCTCTCTTACTATTGTGGAGCTCTGCAACAGGTATTTTGCTGCTGACAGTTTTGCCCAGTAAAAAATACAGAACCAGGAAAACCACAGACCAGGAGTGGCCTAAAGAAGTACACTGGGACCTCCTTGCTGTACTGTGTAAGTGTTAAATCGTTCATCTTCTGATACTGAAGTTTTGCCTCTGAAGGGGTCAGCATATTTTCCTCTCTCGCGAGCCACGAACTATGGCAAGGGGGTGGAATATTTACCGATTCCTAAACCTCCTTTACCCCAAGATACCTGTTCAGTAAAATCCTAATTTTTAAAAATTATTTCAAGTTGCTAGCTCGGTGAATTCATTATATGCCTTTTGCTACATATGCATAGATAAAGTTGTTCTAGAGACATGTATGTGCACAAATCCAAAAGAATATGAGATGATTTTCTTTGCCACAAAAAGCAAAGTTAGTCTTAACAAGGCTGGCATTCGCATTCACAATGGCAGCACGCTTGGAGACAAAAGGCCCAGCAGGCCTCATGGTGCCACCTCGGGGAGCACTCCGAAAAGCCACTTCAGCACAGCTTTATTCAGGGAAGGTAATTTACACCTTCATTAATCAGCTCCATACAGCACAGGTAATCCCACAGCTAACTCCGGGTACTTATACTCTATTACCTAACATAATTCCATTAGTATTTACATCACTGGAATACTCTACCACCGTTTGCTTTATCTTATGTCAACACTCTAAAAATTAATGTAATTCTTCATCGATTTTACACATACACCAAGTTCCTCTCTTCTTCCTAAAAAAAAACCCCCAGCCACTTCTAACAAGCTGACCTGCCAAAAAACATCAAAATGCATTCCAGTCCTATCAGCTTATCGCAGGATTTCTTAACCCTTTGCACCTCAGTTAGCAGAAACCTCCTCAAACAATGGTTCTTTCTTTGGAGACACCCTTGCACGTCAGGGTTTTAGCTCTTCATCAGAAATGCTGGTTAACGTATGACTTATCTGAGCTGCACAGTGCACGTTCCCCATTGTAAGTGTTTTTGGACCACTACTTGTTTGAATTTTTAACCCAACAATGGAGCGCGTACCTGGAATTCAGTTTTAGCCTGCTCAACTGACTTCAGATCATCCGAACAACTCATAACTGTCATTTTTAATAAAAGCAGGGGAAAACACATGATCTATTATACCATGTTTACCAGCAACAAAATAAAAGCTTGGAATGACACCTAGACAGAGTCCACCCATCATGAACTGTAGAACACCAGTGGCCACACAAAGGGCAATTTACGTGTAGTTCTTTGCAAGTTTGACAGCATACGTTCAAAGGGGCACTTACACACATGCCTTAAAGCTGTTGTTTTCCAGGCAATCAGCCAAGCTTACAGCAGCCATCTGTCTAAAAGCATCTGTACCTGGACCAAAATCCAACGGCGCTGTGAATGACAGGGGAGGAGAGGGACTCACGCGTGGTTAAGGTCTCTGACGTCGTGACTGAGGAGCGTGGCAGCTCCCAAGGCATGAACCCCCCCTCAAAAGGGGGCCCACAGCACAACCGCACGCATCCGCCCTGCGCCCCTTCTCCCTGGAGCAACCCCGATAAACTCCTCACCTTTAACGCCACCCGGAGCCCTCCTAAGACTAAATCTACGACGGCTCCGACCCGCTGCCCACCCCCGCCCCAGCCCGGGGTCTGTGCTCTCACACC